TCTGAGTGATTTCAATAGTTTAATATTCTACATGTTCACCTAGTACAGGGGTTCCCAACCTTTTTTGTTTTACTCTAGAGCACATTCTAAAATATCGGTAGGTTGGCGGGCACCACCTATTTTAAATCGAAAAACTCCTTCCATAACTTGTCATTTTCCCATAATTTATTTTCTTATTTTCTTATAGTCATAATGTATTAATACATAATAAACAAAACAATCATCGCTTATGAATACAATAAATTACGCAGCTCGTTTTTAGCCTGTGAATTTTGTTTTATATAGAAAACTCCTAATTCGTGTTTCGTCTACCTGTCGCTACCCGAACAGGGCAGCAATCACAATGACAAAAACGCGGTTCCAGGCGGGGAATGATTTTTGCACATCACACCATGTACACGCGGAAAACCCGAAGTGAGCGGATGATCGCCGAAGCAATCAGAGTTATGTGATTTGGCGCCTTCGGCGTTTATCGGATCAGTTCGTGGCGTTCGTTCCATTCGTTCACTTCGGGTTTTCTGCGTGTACAGGGTGTGATGTGCAAATGGCACTAGCCGTTCCAGGCTAGTGTAAATAGTGCAGTTTGGCTCGCCGCTAGACAAGTTGGGACAAGTATCGAACATATTTAATAAACCTAGGCAGTCAAAAAAAAAAAATTAAAACTGTAACAAATGAATAAAAATAAATCATATTTTAAAATAATGTTTACGAAATAAATTCTGTCTCTTTCGAATAGTGAGAGGCGGGCACATACGAATCGTTCAGCGGGCGCCATGGGAACCCCTGACCTAGTATAATGTCATTGAACACACTTGACGTAGAATTGTTTATTAACGTGTAGACTTTTTTTTTACATACATGGGTACCTAAGTGCCCCAATATAAGAGAGTGTTGTGATACGAGCCATCGAGCATACAAGCAAAATTTGAGATACGAGTAACCCGATTAGCGGGTACAACAGAGCAGAGTCGTAGAGACCCTTCCCGGCGCCCGGGGACAAATTTTCGATTTGCACCCCCTCTCAAACTTTCGATTTGCACCCCCCCCCCCTCAAACTTTCGATTTGTACCCCCCTCAAACTTTAGATTACTTTTTCCAACCTATTTTGGCGCCCCCGAGGTCGGCGCCCGGGGACATATGTCCCCCCCCCCCCCCATCGCTACGCCTCTGCAACAGTGTGCATATGAGCTATTTAATGATACTTACCTAATTAATTTGCGAATCATTTTTCTTCCAAACTGTTTTACTATATAATTACGTACAAGCAACGTTTGTTATTATATAACAATAACTGAAAGTGTAAGACTCTAACAACAATTACAGTGTACTCATTTGCAAACACACGAAAACATTCGTTGATTATCGGCGTATTTATATGTAAGCATATTATATTATTATGTACGAAGCGTACATTAGTGTACCTAGTTATCTTTAGACATGTACCTATCAACTTCAAACATTTTTAAAACCATAAAACAGCAACCACAGGTTCGTGGATTTTTTTTAGCAAAAACAAATTATTATTGATTACAGTTGCATTTAGTTATGTTTAAAGAAAACAAAAATATGCTTGCATTACTGCTGCAAGGAAAACACTTCATGAAATTGGTACAACTACTAATAAGCACATTTTTAGTGTAAAGCTCTGGCGTTATATGTATGATTATTTAACATTTAGAATACATTTCATCATAGTAATAAAAAAAAAATGCATTCAAATTTGTATATAACAACTTAACATGTTTATTATTTTACTTCAACCTCTTGGTGACCGCCATTTGTTGACTTAAATAATTGGTGTAAGAATTGGTTCCCCTAACTTACGGGAGGTAACTAGGTGCATTTTTTTTTTAGCACAGAGTTGTTTATAATCCTCTATTAGATTTCGTTATATCCGAAAATTTCCATTACTATCTGGCACATACATAAACTTAATATGTTGAAGTGAGTAGAATATTTATGCATACTTAATCGTGTTGAATCACGTAATAATTAATAGTGTTTAAGTAGGTAGACGATGATAGAATACGTTTATATATATAGTGCCAAAAGTTGTGTATGTATCTCACTTTGTTTTCAGTTCTAATACGCTTTTGCACTATATGAACGTGCACAGTGGCGTCGCTAGGTCGGGTGTCACCTACTCCCCGAAAAAAAATATATGTATATAGGCCATATATATATATATATATATATATATATATATATATATATATATATATATATATATATATATATATAGCAGGTAAGTAACAAAGTATATGCAAACTTTAAATGGTTCTTACGTTTTTAAATACAAAAGCAAATTTAATTTTAACACGTTTTTCATAACTCAGCTTCGCGTTTGTTTGTTTGTTTGGATGTTTGTTGTTAAAATTGACATCGAAAATTAGCCCACTTCTTATTGCTCTAGAGATCTGAAATTTGGCATGCAGGCTACTTTCGCCTAACAATTTCAGATGCAATCATAAAAACTAGCAATTAGAGACCGTAATTAGCTTAATTTAATTACGCCCCAAGGACCATAAAATTGAGGACATGATTTCTAAAGATACCGACCAGACTGGAGGCCTATTGACACAGTTACTTCGGCCCCAATCGATGTGAGCGCGCTGGCCGTGATCGTATAGTGGTTAGTACTTCGCGTTGTGGCCGCGACAACCCAGGTTCGAATCCTGGTCGCTCAAGATTTTTAGTCCGTGTATTTATAAACACTTAGTCAAGTCATACTTAATCAAGTCATTAGATAAAGTAGAAAATAAACTATATAAAAAACTTTTTAAAAAACCACGTTTTTCATGTGTAGCAACGGACTAAAAAGGAGAAAATAAAATACTTAAAAAAAACGTTTTAAAAAACCACGTTTTTCTTGTGGACTAAAAAGTAGAAAATAAATTTTTCTTGTGTGCTTTCTCGAGCTGTGCAGATTCTTGTGATGACTGACAAAAAACGTGGGTCGGGCAGATGGGTCGGGAAATTTGATGGTGAACGTACCCACTTTTTTGTCAGTCATCACAAGAATCTGCACAGCTCGAGGAAGCACAAAAGAAAAATTTATTTTCTACTTTTTAGTCCACAAGAAAAAAGTGGTTTTTTAAAAAGTTTTTTTAAAGTATTTTATTACTTTTTTAGCGTAACTAATCTTTTCAATGGTATATATGAAAGTAATAATTATTATTCGAAAATTAATATAATAGTTTTATAGATTTTAGATGTATACTATTTTTGTACTGCTAAGATACACGTTAATCAAAACAAGTTAATTAAAAAGTCTAGTGACATTTAAGCGCAAATTCCTTATGTTATCTAAAAATAGCTCTGTCGTAGCGTAAATCAAGAGCAGGGTTAGTAAAACCATTGGTTAGTTATTAAAACGTTTTTTATTAATTTTTTTTCTGTATTTTACAATTTTTATTTACAATAGTTACATGACTAAAAACCATTGCGCGCCTACTGAATGTGATGACGCAGCCATTGAACGTGATGGCGCAGCTATTGAACGTGATGACGCGTGTGGTGTGGTTGGATAAATATGCTTACTAATTCGGTCCAAATTTTAATTAATTCAAAAAAAATTTTGTGACCGAACGAAAGGATATTTTTGAAAATTTTCTTCGGCAATATTGTTCTAAATTATGGCAGGAATCGATTGGTACATGTTTCAAGTCGCTAAGTGGTCTGGTTGCCGAGATATGGGCCAAAAACTGCTTTTTTCCGAGGTTTTTTGGCTTTTCCGGGAAATTCATGAAAGAAACCCGGAATTTTTATGGCCTATGTTCATCCTTGTAACTTGCTTAACATAATTGCTTTTGGAACTAGTCATCGATATTGCTTCGTTGAGGAGGAAATACGACTTAAAGCTGCGGACACACATACATCCATCCATCCATCCATTCATTCATACATTCATACATCCAGAAATGACGGGTTAATAAATGCAATTCTCCAGAATGGAAATTGCGCTAAAAAAAGAATGAGTAAGTTGTTTCCCTTATAAAATATGAATATAATTAAGTCTCCTTCATTTATCACAACGCAGCCATATTATTTACATTTACGTCTTACCATAATCGGTTAGCTTAGCACAGAACCATAACAATGTGTCTAATCAATTTTAATTTTTTTTGTTAAATGTGTATAGCATAATTACAGCAAACAATTGCAACAGCATTATTCATGTTTGTTTTGTTTTATTTTCCTATTCATTTAGTAAGGAATAGTTTAGGGTTAATGTTATATCGTTTGTTTTTCTGTCCGCCATCATTCACTTATTTAATTTTGGATTTAAAAGATTAGTCGTCTGATAATATGCCTAAGTAATTCAGGCTTTCCATTGGCTTTTTTATTATTACTTGTATTAACGGGAATGATGATGACTGTGCATCAACATCACTGTGTAGAAAGAACAAAACCATTACAATAAGATTTTCCAAAGCAATCAAAACATTATAATACATGTTAATGCAAATCAGTGTTAAATCTGCCATTGCTATTCAAACACTAGTCCAGAAAAACGAGGGTTTATCTATGTAACAAAAATAATTCAAAACTGAAATAATAAATTTAAAAAACATGTCTATAGCACGATCGAACTGGAGTAGTAAAATCGTGCCTTGTTGTAATGTTCTGAAGTTTATGTATCATGGTGATGTATTTAAGTAAATAATGTGGTTGGCGTGTTCATTTCATTAGTATACTGAAGACTCAGTTCAATTATAATTGTAATCAAAATTATTGTGTTTGTAAACACTCACATTTTTTCTTTCTTTAAAATGATTTTAGTCATCTTAAATATGATTAAAAACCAATCCAAAACAGGCAACCTTGTCTGAAATCACTATATGAGAGACTGTTAATGACAATGAGATCTAGATATATGGATGTTGGATATGTAGAGAAAATATAGTTTAGTTTTCTGCGTTAACATTATGATTTTTATCTCACCCTGAAATAAAAAAATGAATGTATATATAAATAGATATATAATAAATCTAAAGTCTTTATGTGAAAAAATGTTCTACTGTAACCTTCGATTGTTTAGCTTGATCTATTCCTCTTTTGACTAGGTCGCTGTAAGATGGTTGGGATAGTGGTGTATTATTATTAAATATTGAAGGCGATTCTTCACCATCCGCCATTTGTATGGAACCCATTTGTTTACTTCCTGTGTCTCTTGATGTACTCCTCTCTTCCTTGTCACCAACACCATCTTCTCTTTTCCTCTTCAGACGCTGATCTCTTCGTGCCGTGCTACACTGTTAAAATTTTCACCGTGAAATCACGGTTAATTACTGGCAGCTCAGTTGCCAGTAAATTACCATAAAAATATGGTACCATACCGTGATTTAAAAAAAAAGGTAACACTTTTTTACCGTTTTTAATCAGTATTTTACCGTGAAATCAGGATATGGTAAAAAATGTTACCGTTTAATTTACAATTGTATGCACTAATGCACTAACAAGTAGAAAATAAATTATAGACTACTATTTAAATAACTATAAAGAAAAGCGTGGGTAAGTAAACAAAACTTTGTCAATGAATTTGTATTCTACCATCTTTGTCAAATCATAAAACTAGGTTTAGGAATGGGGGCCCTATATTTTGTCAAATTTGGAATAGGAATAAAATGTTTTTTTTTTTACTTTATGAGTGAGCTATCATTCATGGGTGTTATTATACCAATGAATTATGAATGTAATTTCGTAGACCTACACAAGTTTTTTGTAAATCAATTTGAGCAATTTCAATATTTTACCCTTTCTTAGCAGCTATATATCTTAGAAGCAGAGGCGTAGCGAGGGGGGGGGGCGCGGTGCGGACCGCACAGGGTGACACCATTTAGGGGGGTGACACCAAGGCAAAAAATAGCAAAATATATAGAGAAAAATTTGAGGGGGGGGGGGGGGGGGAACGAAAGTTTGAAAGGGGGGGGGGGGTGTGCAAATCGAAAGTTTGAAAGTTTGTCCCCGGCAATGGTCGCTACGCCTCTGGGGGTGACGCCAATAAGTGCAGCACCGGGTGACACCCGACCTCGCTACGCCACTGCTTAGAAGTATTTTTTTTAATAAGTTATACTTAGCTTTCTTTCTTAAAAATAATGCGTTATCTCATACACGCTAATTTCTATGTATATTTGATTATTGTCAAAATCTTTGTATCATGCTTTTTAAAAGCGCGTAATGATTAATTTAGTTTTGAAGTAGGTGGGGATAGACCAATAAAGCAAGAACTTGTATATAAAAATCGTGCGACAAAATGTGTATTTGTTTTTAAATGCGATATTATTTTGCACTACATGAACGGCTTCTTTTTTTACCCCGCCGACCGTTATGAACGGCTAACCGTTAAAGTTGAATGCGAACATAAATAATAACAAACCGTATTGATATTGTCAGTGCCGACTTGTGTTTATAAAGTTGTACCCAGTTTATCTTTATGTAGCAGAAATGATCAACTTGCACATTTTACAGCTAGAGAATATGTTTGTAATTTTCTTATGTTTGGTATGATTGACATGTTGTTCTATTTTTCTCTGTTGCTCTGTTTTTTTTTCTCGAATTAGATAGTTAATTAACCATTAAAGTAATTAAAATATGACTACATTAAATAAATAAATGAAAGATGGATGGCTAAGAGGGCATGCTACCTTGAAATATCCGCCAGTCCGGTTGAGTGGGGGGGGGTGTCTGTGGGGGGGTGGGGTGAGGTGTGTTTCTCTTTTTACCATTCAGATTGTGCACTTTTAAAACCTGGGAAACAGAAAACTGTTGAGGGCTGATCGAGTGATGTTTGGCTTGAGACTGTCTAAATTAAAATAAACGAGCCGACCCGCGGCATATCATACGCCGCTATTTAGTTGTTTTATTTTCTACTTTTCAGTAATTCATAATTTGTGAATTCGACAGTACCAATGCTGCCATTGAAAATATTTGCTTTAAAACACTATCAGTAGGTCGTTAAGAACGATACTACCCCCACCCTCCTTTCCCCCAACCCCTACCCTACCCCCCCCCGTGAAAGCAGCCTCCTCTTAGTTACCTCCCCTAAGTTTGAAATAGTTTCAAACTAAATTATCTGCCCCTAATAGCCGTCACTAAACCCGCTCTATGATTGTAAACATTTAGCGTGAAACACAGCTCACCAGACCATGTAGGGGTGGGGTGGTAGGGAGCGCGCTTACAGCTTGTTTTTTAGCGTCTCCCAGAAGAGAATTATATATATATATATATATATATATATATATATATATATATATATATATATATATATATATATATATATAGATACTTTATTTATTGATTTCCAAAAATTTTAAATAAAATAATTTTAACGGAAAAAGAAAGTATGTCCGATCGAAAATTGAAGATTAGGCATTTACTATATGACAAATTATATACCATCTTTAAATGGTTCTTAAGTTTTTGAATGCAGAAGGTATTCAATTACATTTTTATAATGAAACTTATTTCTTTAATAATACATACGATCGTAAAAGTTTGTATTAGAAAATTAATATAATAATGTAATAGATGTATACAATATTTGAACTGTTTAGGTACACGTTATTCAACAAAATAATTGGTAAGTTGTTTCCCTTATAAAATGTAAATTAAGTCCCGATCATTTATCACTCCGAAACAATATTAATTCTAATATGTCTTTCTTTTAATTTGTGAGAGCATCACAGATATATGAGTCTGAACAATTTCATTTTATTTAATAAGATTGTAGAGTGTATATGGAATAATTACGTCAAATAATTGCAACAGTATTATTCATGTTTGCTTTGTTTTATTTTCCTATTCATGTGATATGAAGTTGTTTAGACGTATAATGTGCTATTGTTTGTTTTATTGTCCGCCGTTCTTTTTTTATTTAATGTTTGATTTAAAATGTTTTGGGTGGATTTAAAAGTGTTCATTTTTATGCATTTTTGATCACTATTATCATTTATTTTTATTTTTTTATTTATTTATTTTGTTTTTCCTTTAATTTTTATGATTTTTTTTGTTTTTCGTTACAAAAACAGCTATGGTCTGGGTTAGATATAACATTTTCTCCATCTCTTCTGATTGTTGCTGATATATTTTTACAGCTAAATAAAGCACTGGTTAGTTGTAAACTTGCAAGTATTGATGTATAGGCAGCTCCTGAAGCATAGTTTAAGTTAGCTAGATCCAGTGGCGTAGCGAGGTCGGGTGTCACCCGGTGCGGCACTTAATGGTGCCCCCCCCCCCCCCCCCCCCGAGGCGTAGCGACCCTTCCCGGGGACAAATTCAATTGTTTTAACCCGTTTGTTGGAAGTTAATCCAAAATAGCGCAATAAACTATGCGTATTGCAGTTTGTTAACAAAGAAACAGTTGATGAAGGCATAAGTAACTTCTGCAACGCTAGAGCCATTTTGTTTAAAATATGTTTCATTTATTCTTCATTAATTTTATTTTTGTACTACTAATTCATCAAATTTTTATTACCAAGTCCCCTATATATATATATATATATATATATATATATATATATATATATATATATATATATATATATACAGAGAATACCAGTAAATACATTTGTGTCAAGGTCTCTTCCTCTCTGATGTACTGTCCTAAGTCTGCTTGGTGAAACACAACACTGGTCATAGGATCACAATTTCTACACGCCGAAGTGGACTTAGCAGCAACATCAAAACACAAAGGCGGATCCTCCATGTTGTATATGACGACTCACTGGTACTGTTCTGGTACCATCAGTGATACGCCCAAGCCCTGATTTCATTATGTGATGTCCATATAAAAACTGTTGTTCAGCATTGGGTTTAAGCCACACTTTGTGCTTAGCATACGGTGCAAGATAATCAAGAGCTGTTATGTGAAGGTGGAATTTTCCAGATTTGGTAAATTGACAAAAACAAGATCCTAGAGAAATGAGGTTGGTCCCAGCTGCTGAACTTCCTATTTTCAACATTTCTTCACTCATGTAATAATTCCTATCCTTGTGTAACCCAGAGGCGTAGCGACCCTTCCCGGCGCCCGGGGACATACTTTCAATTTGGCGCCCCCCTCGGGAGCAAATTTTCGATTTGCACCCCCCCCCCCCTCGAACTTTTCATTTGCACCCCCCCCCCCCCTCAAACTTTCGATTTGCACCCCCCTCGAACTTTCAATTTTGCGCCCCCCCCCCCTAAGGTCGGCGCCCGGGGACGTATGTCCCCCCCCGCCCCCCCCTTGCTACGCCTCTGGTGTAACCTGCAACAAGCTGAACTTCCTATTTTCAACATTTCTTCACTCATGTAATAAATCCTATCCTTGTGTAACCTGAAACAAGATGAACTTCCTATTTTCAACATTTCTTCACTCGTGTATTAAAACCTATCCTTGTGTAACCTGAAACAAGATGAACTTCATATTTTCAACATTTCTTCACTCATGTAATAAAACCTATCCTTGTGTAACCTGAAACAATATGTGACATCTTCTCTGTCAATCGTTAGCTTGATATTTTCACCTAAATCTTTGGAAATCTTTTCAAAGAAAGTAGCTGTTTCATCTTGCGTTAGTGGCCGCATGGTAGTGTAAGATGTAAATATTCAAGCGTATGCTAACTCTTAAGTGCCGATAATTTAAAAATAGAGATTTTCTAGTTAGCAGTAATGATTTGTAAAGTACAAAAACTTAAAATGTATTCATGGTTTAAAAAAAAAATTAAAGTTTAACAATGTTTGTTTACTTATAATTTTATATACATTTTTCTGCTAAATCGTTTTGTATTATTAAAATGTAATTTTAATTTAAAAATATGTCTAAATAATTAGGATTCACAAATTAAGTAATATAAATGTATTTATATAATATATTTGTTTATATAGAAGTATTGTATATAAGTTGTCTCCCTTACACAAAATCGCGAACATGTTTATCTAATACACGTAGTTCAAGTAAATATCCGGGTTTTTTTCATGGATTTCCCGGAAAAGCCAAAAAACCTCAAAAAAAAATGCAGTTTTTGGCCCATATCTCGGCAACCAGACCACTTAGCGACTTGAAACATGTACCAATAAATTCCTGCCATAATTTAGAACAATATTGCCGAAGAAAGTTTTTAAAAATATCCTTTCGTTCGGCCACACACATGTTTTTGAATTAATTAAAATTTGGACAGAATTAGTAGGCATTTTTATCCAACCACACCACACGCGTCATCACGTTCAATAGCTGCGCCATCACGTTCAATGGCTGCGACATCACGTTCGGTAGCTAGGCGCGCAAAGGGTTTTAGTCATGTAACTCTATTGTAAATAAAACATGTAAAATACTGAAAAAAAAATTAATAAAAAACGTTTTAATAACTAACCAATGGTTTTACTAACCCTGCTCTTGATTTACGCTACGACAGAGCTATTTTTAGATAACATAAGGAAATTGCGCTAAAATTGTCACTAGACTTTTTATTAACTTGTTGTTTTTTTTGTTGTTTTTTTTTTCCTATGTTATAAATGGGAGTGAGGATAATATCAGCGGCTTAGGATTTCTTTTACCTTTTTATTTCTGTTAGGTTTATCACTGGAGACAAGAAATGATGTGTTTGTATTTTAATATTTTTATGGTGTGTTATATTAGGTGAGGATGTGATCAAGATATATGATATAACAGTAACACTGGCAAGTCGTGATAGTAACGGTCGACACCCACCGGGGTTAAGAGCGGGTAGGGTCAGATCATGAGAGAAAAACAACACAACACACGTGTGGGTGTAACGCGAGTGAAGCACACTGCATTGTGTGCAGCTGGGTATAGCCAATCCGGGTACACATGCAGCATAGTAATACTCCACGTTGTTTGATGACGTCAACGACTAGGACGACGATGATGATAACAATAATGATAATGACTATGTCAAACGGCAATGACGTGACTGATATGATTTTAATAACATTTTTTTTTTGGAAAATATCATTAAAAGTAACATGTAGTACCATGGTGCCTGTACATCAATTGGTATCTTCTCTCTACTGCGTGGTAATTGTAATTGTTTCCTAACCATTCTATTATGCAAGGTTATTTTGTTTATATTTCTAAAGTTTATACACAATTATTATTTTAACGTTTTTACACTTGCTTTTTGGTGTGTTTTTTTTTTTCATACTGTGAACTATTGCGATTAAAAATTATATTTTTTATGAATCTTTAGACAATGATGTGTCATGGTAAAATACTATTAAATGCTCGTTTATTTATGTTTTTCTTCTTACATAAGATTTGCATATTTACATATTAATTTTATAATCACGTCCTACGGCAACATTTAATATGAGATTAAATTCATACTAAAATGTAAGCCTATTTAGGATAACTTAAAATACGACGCTAGAGTGACCGCAATAACTTGTCTTTAAGCCCCAACTTTATTTAAAAAGATGTATGTAGGTAAAACATACGAACCTTTTGAAAAAGTTAAATGTAGATATTTATAATTTAGATATGTGGATTAAAAAAAAGAGATATTTAAACACTTAATTGATATATTTTAAAACCTTTAAAAATACATGTTTATAAAATAAAAGACAAACAAACAAAAAAATAAATTGTTTTTTTAAGTCTCAGATTATGTAATTCTTTTCAGTTCGCCTGAGCTTTGTCCCGAAGGTGACCACTGTCTAATTACTTGTATTTCATCACGTGACATACGAGGACCGTAGTAGATTTACAAACCTCCGCTATCTTCATCTCTTTCATTCTTAAATATACATATAATACATAGAAACGTTTAGAGGTAGGGGTGGGGGTTATAAAGTAGTAAGCTGGCATAATCAGTGGTCGGAAAAGAAACAGTGACATTCGGTTATGTAGACGTTTTTTTTTAATTTTGTGGGGGTTGGGGTCGGGGGTTAAAGCCGCCAGTCTGTCCATCCATAAATATATTTTTTTCGTCTAAAAGTCTAAAAGAAATGACAAGATATTGTTATTTTGTTTTCAAGTGTTAGAAAAGTTAGCAGAGGTAGCTTTACCTTCAGGAGCTGACTATACAAATGAAAATAGTGACCAAAAAAATTTGGTTGATTAGAGGTATAGAACTAAGGTAACGACCAATAAGATATTTTAAAAAATAAAGCGAAGCTTCCATCGGATTGCAACAAGTTTCCTTTACACTTGTTCTCTCCTACAACAAAATATATAAATAGCTACAAGCGTTGGAGGTGAGAAGTTGACCGAATCAAAGTAGACATGTGATGGAATGTTTTGATTAGCAATGCACCGTGCCTTGGAATATAAATTAACTGTGGTTTGTAATGGGGATAATTTTTGTTGACATTTTTTTTATAGAACAATATATTACAAAAAGTAATAAAATATATTTATACTGCATTCTAATTTTAAAATATCAATTATTAAAAATATTTTTCTAGCAAAATAATGTTTTAGTTTTTCTAAAAATTATTACAATTTTACGATGTTAATTTAATTAACCTAAATGACTTTTAATGTAGGCCTTTTTCATTTTTATTAATGAATATATTTATTTTAAACTTTAATACATTGGTAGTCTGTAATCGCAACGTCAACACTAATGGCTAATTTTTCACTACTTATCCAGCATCTATTTCCTGTGTCATTTGTCCATGTTATCTACTTAGATTTAGTTTTCATTAGTTCAGTCCAGTATTTAGCCCTTATATTCAAGCCTTTTATTTTCTATTGATAATAAGCAGTATTAACACGAGACAAATGGCCTGTTGAGGGAGAGATACAACGGGCGCTAGGTTGGTAGTGGTGTCTTTTTTCTTTAACTCGAAATCAAAACAAAAATCATCACCTAAACTTCAAACTTAAACGGAAACGAAAAATGTGATGGAAAACGAATTTTTATCAATAATATGTATTTTAACCGGACTTAAGCTTGATCTACACTTAGTTACTGCACATTGATACTAAACACAGTCGAAGTCAAATCCCTAAACCTTGAACCTAATCTCAAACACGAATTAAGTCGCATTTAGGTGGGGGGGGGGGGTTCTGCCTCGAGCATCCCCCCTACCCCCACACACACTATAAAGCACGTCTACCGTCCCATTCAACGAAATATAATTTTTATAGAAACTATATTTTTTTACCTTTGTCCGCCCCTTCCAAAAAATTTGGTCCACCCTCACCTCTGAAAATTTCAAGAACCCCTCCCGCTTCTGGGGAGGAATAACTCGGAAAGAAACACTGGTCGCATTTTTATGAGCTTATACACACTAAAGGTAGTGCCCACTTCTATAATATAGACCTGTTTCCTACTTTTGAACGATATAAATTTTACAAATAAAGCGGAAGTGATCTCTCATAAATTTTCTCGAATATTCGTATATATCGCTAAGGGGGTTGGCAAATCCAATTCTATTTTGCTCTTGACATGTTGTTTTTCAGTTTTTGAATATTTGGTTTATTTAAATAGGTGAACCCGCGTATTTCTGAGCTGGAGTTTGAATAGCCAGTGCGGATTTCACACTGAGTTGCACATAACAAATAGATTATAATGTTTGATGGCTTTGGACAATCATGTTGTAATGGTTTTGTTCTTTGTAAACAGTGATGTTGATGGACAGTCATAAAAAGAAAAGCCAAAGGGCAGTTGGATGATGCAAGTTTGAGTTAAAGAGGTCAAACAGAAGATAGCAGAAACAGTGTCGCCAGGTAGACCAATAGAATTACAGGAGATGACAGGTCACGTGAAACGGTCATAGACGCATTTCGACAAACAGTTTGGGGTGACACCAAATACAGTATCCACTGTAGCGAATTGGGGTGAAACCACATAGGAAATGTACAAATCTACATATCATTCGATCAAGCAAATTATTATACAACAGCCTACGCGCGTGTGTGTGTGCGTGTGTTTGAGTGTGTTAGTGTGTGAAGGAGGGTGGCTGACACCAGTAGAACAATAGTTGTACATTTGATTGTGCTTAAATAGTTAATTTGTTATATATGATATGTGATATGTCATGCAGCGTCAAAACGGCCAATGACAAAACGGCCCCGTCAAAACGATCCCGACTAATCGGCCCCGACATAAGAGCCCTGTCAAATTGACCCCGTCAAAAGGGCTAGCGATATATGGAACCCGTCATTTAGGCTACCGACAAATAGGCTCCCGTTATATAGACTCCCGATAAAAGGGCTCCTGTCAATAAGGCTCCCGATAAATAGGCTCCCGTCATTTAGGCTCCCGACAAATAAGCTCCCGTCATTTAGTTTCTCGACAAAACGGCCCCCGTCATTACGACTCCCGGCAAATAGGCTCCCGCCATTTAGTTTCTCCACAAAACGGCCCCCGTCATTACGACTCCCGACAAATAGGCTACCGTCATTTTGGCTCACGACAAAAAGGCTCCTGTCAATTAGTCTCCCGACTAAAGGACCACTGACAATACCGTTTCTGTAGAGACTAAGTCTCCCGGCAAAGCGGTCTCATTGAATATGACACCTGCCAGTGGGACCCCTTCATCAATATTCTTTAGAGTTAGCTTATCCAACACTCTTAAGTAATTCAACGTGTGCATCTCTTGTTCGGTAGGACTTATTT